CTGGAAAGATCACAGGAAAAAGGTAAACCAGAAAATTTCCTTTACCGATGTGATGTTAGGTTTGAACCGTCTCTCTCGGTAAATGCGACTAGTTCTTTGGGTTTTTACTCTAATAAATTTGCACTTGATATCTGTACTGAAAGACTATACTGTTGTTTTATTACAGCATATAGTGAATATCAAAAATACCAAAGAAGTAAAGCATTAGTAAATCACAGTATCTTAGTGTATTTCTTTGTTATTCAGCCCGTTATATACTAGTGATTTTGATGTGATCCGCAGCAGTTAGTGCTCATTGACAGTAGTGTTCACTGTCACCTGCAATTAACACGATGATTCTTTTTATTATGCATTGTATCTAATTTGTAAACTTGAATATTTTTTGTGGTCAATGAAGAACAATATAAATTGGGTGGCGTAAAAACTTTTTTTTTTACATATTCGATTAGAACAACTAAACAGTGAAGTTTTTATTGTATCCGAAATAATAACAGTGATAATAAACGGAAAACATACAGGTATCCTTCTGGCAGAAATATCTCATTGCCGGACTTGTGTACGAACACTTCATCGTCTTCCATATTGAATTTTTACTACTATATAAATCAGCATATGTGCACTCACCACGCCTTGCATCCGGCTCACCAGGTGCATAAATGTTGTAGTCATCCTTGTCCATCTATATTTCAGAAGTATGAAATAGTCAAAAACTCTATCGTTTTTTGGCAGTAGTAAACAGTAACTAGTGTTTTTTCTACACTGTTTGATCACTTTACTGGAGATAAATGGTCAACACTTGTCTTATGCTGTTCAAAATTCATTAATTATTGCACACAGACTTATTATTATTATTACTTTTTTGTAGCAAATAATTTAAAGCTATGAAGTAATTTATAGTGTTGAAAAAGATGCTATTAAAATGCTTACAGTTTCACCGCTTGACCATATCAATTCATCATTAATATACTGCAGGCCAACAATATATTTATCGGTTTTTTCAGCTTTTGCAATATCTTAATATGACTTCAATTAAATTAACCATATTTTGGAGATAGAAATTAGGTATGTAATAGTTTTAACGAAATATTAGACTCTATAAATATATAGTCTTTTTGTTTTAATATAAACCTGTTAAGAACTTGTCTTTTTCGTCAGAATATACATCAACTAATGTCATTCCAACTAAGCCACAGCCAACTTTTGCTGACTCTGAAGCTGCTGGTGATTCTTCCAAATATACACATTGGCCGTAAATACCACATTCGTCAGTTTTGAACTGAATTGTTGGTGGCTTACAGAAACAGTTTGCTGCAAAAAAAAATAAATAAAGAACAAAAGCTACATTATTTGTTAATGTCGTATTATTCTTCGAATTCACTGGAACTAAAAAAAACTACCACGGTCTTTAATCAAACCTAAACTTCAGCAAAAATAGGTAGCAGAAAAAATTTTCAAAAATTAAAATAATTGCTATTCCTTTCATATTTTACGTTACCTTTGCAAATCAAATCTTCCAAATTTTCTAAGAAATATTTGTTGTTGCTCAACCGGAAACATCGATCGCCGAATGAACTGCCCTGATTTGGATCACCATTTGGTACACCATAAACTGAGATATCTATGGTTAAAATGGTGACGCCGTTTTCAGTGAGCCATTTTGCCACCTGACAACCTTCTTTGCCTCTTAAAAATTATTACTTTGATCAGACTAATCTCACTTTAGTTGGTAATACACCAGACTAGCGTTGTGAAGATAAGAGTAAGAGCAAGAGTCAGAATCCAAACTGGACAACAGTGAACAAAAAAAAGAGCTTACGTTTCACACTTCACGATAGTATTTGTAAATACGATCAACAAATCTTTGACATTTTGCCTTTCCCGTCTACTCATCTTCTTTTGGAATATTGTTTTAGCCTGCACAATACCACTACAAAATTAAATTCATTTTTATTTTTTGTAGACAAAACATGTCAATAATTTTTTTTGAAAAAAAAAAAAGACTACTTTTTGCTGTTATCAACATTCCAATATGGTATGGTACAGTAGCTGTTGGATTAACAAATAGTTTAGTTATTTAATAAACTTTAAAAAAATAGTCATATTTTTTTACTTTCCAAAGTTATATTCTCCTTTCATAGGTTTCATTGCCATCATATCCATAATGGCTTCTGTTCCATGGCTGTATTTGTTCAGATCACTCACCAAAGTTGCCTATAAAATAGCGCTAATAAAAAAAAACTGACAAAACTGAGTTAAAAAGAGAAATTTTTTCTGGCTACGGAAGACAGTTTAACTTATTTTGATTATTATCTGCTTAGTTTTATGAGATTAATAGACAGTAACGTAGACAATGTTTAAGTTCAGGTTTAGTAAGCGAAAAAGAAAAAGTGCTTACAGTACTACCGACATTGACGAACCCAATTCTGCTGAACTGTTCACCTTTTTGTTTAATGAATAAACGATGCAAAAGCCCGGTAATAGCACCTCGTTGCTGTAATTATTATTATAATACTTTAATGTTTTCAAAAATGGATTTGATACAGTAGATAAGCAAGAAAAAAAAGCTGGTAAGAACAGATGTGAAAAATAAGAAAGTTGACAAAGATACAACAACTTATAAAACTACTGTTTTAATTGTTACAATAAAACAGACAGTTAAATGTATTAAAATTATATATTCAAAACGAAAACAGTTAACTTTAATTTCAAAGACAGTGTTCTTAATCGAGTACAGCAGTCTTCAATTTCTGATCACTGTGACATCTCCTGTTCTAAACCTTTGTTTATATATTATGAATTAGACTTTTATTATTTTTTTTACTTTTATTTTTATTTTTTTTTTGCTTATTTTTATTATTTGAACAATATTACAGTAGTTTGAGCAAACATTTATTTTCACTGCTGTTGCTGCTACTAAAGACGAAGGCACTTACACCTGCAAAGCCGACTGTTGAAGCTCCGTCTGAGGAATCAAACATCACAACGATATCAAGCCATACGCCATGCAGAACACATGGACATGCATTTGGTGTCAGTGTTGGTGGCCGAGTTGGTGATACTGCAAAATGCCAACGAGTTGTTTAGCTGATAAGTTGTCCAAATTCAATTTTTCTTTCAATTACTATTGACTGTACAAAAGTTCTAGAATAATCTGAATAAAATTTTGTCAAAATAAGTAGCTGAGAAAAAAAAAATGTGAAAAAAAGAAATTAAATATTGTAACAAAAACCTTCACAAAATATTTCTTTTAATTTGTCAAAAAGTGTTTCATTGTTCTGCAATGAATATTCTCCAAGGTTCATAGTCTCTTCGTTGGGATCTTCATGATAACGTAGGTCAACGCTGATCAGAATGATACTTTCGTTTTTCATTCGAAACGCCTGCTTACATGCTCCGCTCTGAGTTAGCCTAAAAAGTTAAATATCACTTTTACAGCTGTTTTTTGCAGATATACTCAACTTGTTGCTGTATTGTCAATATTGGTAAAATTGATGTATAAAGTCTTGTGTTTTTTTAATAAACAACATTATTAAGAACTAATATTTGAAATTCAATTACCTATATAATTAGTCTAAAACTTACCCGCCATTTGCACAGTTGACAGCAGTACTGGAGAATAGGACAACAACATTTGGTTTACTCGGTCGATCACTTTCTGTTTTAAAAAGTCCATATGCTGCAGCAAGTCCACTGAAAAACAAAAAAAAAAATAATAATAATTTTCTAATTTTAAAGCACCAAAACACATGCAGAAAAAAAAAAACAGAATATTTAAAGTTTAAAAATAAATTTGCTTATTGTATGTTTACTTTTTTTTTTTTTTTTTTTTTTTT